TATAGCATATGGCTGCCATACAAACTGAACGATGAAAATCAAATTCTTGAAATCTAATTTAAATCCAATTATTATGATCTTAATATCGTTTATGATTAAGTTCTTCGATAATTACTTTCCTTAAGTATGACTTTTATCAAATATTATAGTAGATATACTCAAAGCGATAACCTTCGTAGAAGCTCCAGGAATATAGGTATATGTACATATATAATAATAGCGTCGACAATACGCTTTTCTTAATAGCGCGTTTCAAAAGTCTTAGAATTCTCATAAAAATTTGCTTTACATATTTTAACTCTGCGTACTTAGATCTGACTTACTCAATATGATAATTATTGGAGCTATGTCAATTCTTCATAGTATCAGCTGATTTTCAGTTACAGCTTGGCACTTTAAGTTACTGAATTATTTATAGCAAACTTGTTTAAGATAAAATTGGTTTCCAAAAATTTACTATATATGTATTCTTGTATTTGTACGTCCATATATTTTTGGTACTTCCAGTTGAATTTTTACTTCTCAATAGGTAGAAAATATAATCAAAACAAATTGCGATAAGGGTAAGAGGCACGTAAGAAGCAAACAAAAGAGACGAAACGAACTAATTTATACATATTTACACACACGAGTAGGTCTGTAAATACACGGGATATATAAAAAACCGTTGATAGTAAAATATTTTCTACTCGCGCCAAAGTTGATACAAACATACACACACATTCGCTGTTAGCTCGTCGATTGTCAAGCTGATCACATGAGTGCACCACATAAACACCTCCGTACATTGAAAGAACAAGCAGCGCTGTCGTCATCAAAGTTGCTCGTCACTGTCGGCAACACAGCAACGCACACATAGTTCGCTCGCCGGCCACAGCGGCTGGCGCATTCACCGCCGTCGGCAAGTTCGTACGTGACAGAGGTAATGACACATTATTTAGTGGGCCTTAACTGGTTGCCAACTGGTTGGTTGAAGCACCCCCTTATAGACCCTCAGTACTTGGTGTCTTTTTTTTGTAATTGCAAACAAAACGGAGTTGATTAAACGAGAGAGTGTAGCCGTAGAACTCCCTCACGAATCAGCAATCATTTGTGAACATGCCTCAGAATATGCAATACAAGAAAAAGTCTATTTGTTGTTGTTGATACTTGTTGATTGCTGCTAACATTTCACTGTTAGCGACTCTTTGACATTGACGTCTAAATTTATATTGGAAATCTGGAAATAGCAAAGTAGGGGTATTAAAATATTTGTTGTTGTCGTCTGCGCTGTCATTAGTAGGCTATGGAAAATTTGTATATACAGAAACCACTATATATACTTATTATAATAGTCATAGTCAGAGTCATAAAATTTATTTTACTGCTTTCGACATTAGAATCAATATTTATAAATCCATTCGCCGTAAGCCCATGTGTCAAAATTTCCAAATAATTTATGGTATATAGCCGAGACTGAATATAAAACCGGGGCTGGTTACTACAATCATTATACCCTAAACAGGGTCACCGTCGTTTCCTTATGGGCGGGCTAAACTTCGTGGCAAACTTAATATACTCCAGGATATAAAAAAAATTACTTTATGCGTCAGAAAACGATTTAATCCTCACCATAATCATGTTTGATATTGGCATATTTTGTTAGAGGTTTAATATATTTATTAACTTCTTTGTATTCGTAAAAAATTATAAGTAAGGAGTCAACTTCCTTGAAGAGCTCCTGGGGATCTAATTCATGTTTTATTTAAATTAATGTTAATGTTATTAATGTTAGGTTATGCTCAAGTTTATATTATTCTTTAATTGGTTTCTCCTCCTGTAGTTGAGAAACTGCATTTCAAACATTATTCACCAGTCTTATTCTATTAAAAGATTTCCGCCAAGCTTTGTTTGTTTTAAATATAACTGACAACCGCATTTTAGTTACTGGGTATTTACTTGTAGTTATATCTATAAATAGATCAACGCAAAGTCAACATCAGTCACTTATTAAAGACTCTACATCCGTACGTCATGCTCTGATATTCGGATTTTCAAATTCCGAAAATTCTAAAGCGACTAAAACGATAAAGCTATTGCGATTTTATGACGACACAAATATTGTACAATATCAATGTGCTTTAAACGTCCCATATCAGGTATGCACAGAAATAGTATACCTTATCTTACAGAAGCTACAAAAGGCCTTCAATAATAATAATAATATAATATCATACGCAAAAATATTTATTTTTATATACAAAATTCAATTAATTATTTTTTTGAATACTAAGTAGAAAATGTCTAAATGTCTCACTTTAAGTACTTAGTTATGCCCATCCCCGTCATGGTATCTTAATGCGCTTAGCTTATCTCCTACTCAATACTGGGCATTAAATCAAATGTTTCGAATATTATTCAACTTTAAAAGTATTTGATAATTTCAACTGGCAGACAATCCAATTAATCGCCATAGATTGTTTGTGCCTTCTGTTGTCTGTCGTCCGATCAGCGTTTCTAATTCAATTAATCATTGACGCTTCACTTCCTCCGGCGTAGCGGAAAATAAAAAACAAATTCGCGTTAACAATTGCTGATAGCTTTTGTGTTCACTTAATTATCTTTATTAAAATGATTATTAATTGGACAGCGATTGAAATTCGCCGACAACCTCCCACAAGCTTCCAAAGCACACATACAATGATGACCTTACAGTATATACATATTTATAACATCTACATATATATACATATTTGTATTTAGTTTAAGTTCGCGAATGCCTCTTTGAAACCAACTGCATTTTACAGCTGCGATGTCTTGGCGCACAAAAATTCTTTCAATTACTCAGATCAAAGTTCAAGCATTACTCAAACATAAAAGAAGAAGTAATGAATATTTTACGAACGTCGAAATTTCAAGCGACTTCGTGTATTCTTGCTGGACTGCACGAGTACTATCGGGGAAACGATTTAGTCAATGCTTTAAAAAAAGATAAGCACGTTGTGTTTCATGAAGGTTACTCACTATTCGTTACACCAGTTAAGGGAATGATAGGTTTAACCGTAGGTAACGGTTTTTCTTGACCTTAATACGGTTGATCAGTACGAGATTATCCATTAAAAGTGGAACCCAGTAGATATACATCTCAGTTTTTAAAGGAAAATAGCAGAGGTTTCGCCACCTTCAGACCAATGAGAACGATGGAATGAAATCCCACGAAACATTGTCGTAGTTAAGCTGAGTAATCTAAGAGCTTTTGGGTCTATTGATCCGGCTCATAGGAGTTTTGGGTACCACAACGGACCGGCGTTTAAGCTGTCCAAGTGTGATCCTTCTTAGGATCGACCTTCTAACCTAACCTAACCTAACGTAATCTAAGACAAGAATATATATATTTTCTTGTGCTTATTTCTCGGTCAGAGTAAAGAGTTTTCAGACTATGTAGCATAGCCCTGCCAATATCACGTAAAGAAACACGAAGTTCAACTTAGAATCGCGTGTCGGCTTTATCGTTCCCTTTAAAATGTAGACATAACCGGGCTTTCAGCTAGCATGCATTATTCATTTCTGCAGCCCTCATGACTCGTCAGTGAAGCACATTAGCTTGGAAAGACTTTTGTAGCCAGAGTAAGCAGAGATATTTCTGATATTAATAATGTAAAAAGTTTATTTGTGACACTTTCAAGAAAAATTCTTCTTGCCATCATTGATCAAATTTGAGGCAACCACATCTCAGAAGAGCACCATAGTCACGAACGTTTAATGAACCCGCAAAAACAATGAATATTCCATTTACTTACTTCAATATAGTTAGTTGTGAATGTATTTGTGCTGGCTATGCACAATTTATGGCGACATTAAAGTGAGTGTAATTTTCCAATTTCAATCCATTTAATTCATAAACCCACCGAGCACCTATAAAGATAATACCAAATGCTTGCGTATGTGTATTTATATATCGGGTGCGTGTGTATGTAATTTAAATCAACAGCAATGGGCTACTAAACGGTAGCAGTGACCCAAGTCCAGACTACTTAAACTAGATAATAAACAATTTACCACTTAAATACACACACGCAGCAATAGACGCTACAAATCCATTGACCGTTATGGGAGAGAAGATTTCACAATTCCCACCAAACCCATGATACTGAAATCTACACTTCTCTTTAATTGTAATGCGCTGCATAACTTATCGATGCCCTAAATCAAGTCTTACTCGAATTGAGGCGGGAATCACTTAAAGGAATTGCAACTTCTGGTAACAAGGACTTGGGCTTATTATTGAAACCTGGATGCATATTTTAGGGTCAGCTCTTCAAATTACACACGTCTATCTAGCTTAATGGGAGCTTGGAGTTAATTATAACATACATATATAACTCACGGTCTTTAAGCGTTTTCAGTTTTGACTAAAAAATTAGATAAGCGTCCGTACATATATGGAGGTTTAATAGGATATATCCTTCATGAAATCGAACTAAAAAAATTGGTTTCAAGTTATTTGTCAAAGTTTGTCCCGTAGTTTGAAACAGCCAAAAGAAAGGGTCGCAGATCCTACACAATATACTTGTATATATAAATGATCAGTATGGCGAGATCAATCGATTTAGCCATGTTCGTCTGTCTGCCTGTATATATGCGAACTACCTCACTTTTTGAGATATCGATCAGAAATTTGGCACACGTCTTTTCTTTCTCCAAGAAGCTGCTCATTTGTCAGAATAGGATGATATAGGAATTGCTAAAATTTCCGAAGAACTTATTCAGATGAGCTCTCTAACCTTGCAAATTTATCCCACCTCTAATTTCAGACTCATATAATATGACATTCATCAAGAAAAAGCTCGCTGTTAACTGGGTATTCCATATAATAGTTGTGGGTGCGTGAGCGCATAGTTGCAACAGGGGCACACCCGCCTACGCCACAGGCACCCGGATATCTACTGGGTTGCCGCTATCAATGGGCAAGGTACAACATGTGTACCTCGCTCTTTCGCTGCCGTTCCTGAGAATTGCAAATGTGTTTGCTTCTGCGCTGCTTTGTTTTTTTGCTTTTGTTGGTGTCACTGTCGTTGCTGGCGGCTTGTGGTACTGAAATTATAGCATTAGCTTATAAATACTAGACACGCTAGCCAACCAACGACCGAACTCACTAACTAGCTAGTAAACTTACTCCACACACAAACACTAACCATTCACCAACACACACCAACATCCTCACACAACGTTCGAGCAAAGTAACGGTATGGCGCAACAGCTGAATTAAACCGCTGCCGCACCACTTAGCTCCTTAACCACATTCAAGTAGTCAACGCTGATGCATTCAGCTATTTAACCATCGAGCCACTCAGGCACCACTTTTCCAATTCCGACAAATTTAGTCGTATGTCGGAGGTCAAACGGAGCAGAAAGCGACACTTGAGCAAACTAAACGAACGGGAACGCAAAACGGCTCAAAGCAACAAAAGCACACACAAAGTCCACGGTGTAGTGTGAAGAGCGCCAAGTGCTGAGCGTAGAGTGTCCTTAAAGGATATGCAATCTGCTGTGTTGTTGTTTTAGCATAAACACCCCCACACACACACACACATGTGCACACAGCGGGCAGGCAATTAAAGTCTGTTGTGCCATAAAATTCAATGTGAATTAAAAAGTAAAAATGAAATACTTAGCAATAACAGAAACAAGTGCGTTAAAATGAAATAAAATTAAATACAAAATAAAAAGAGAAAAGGCAGTGCAAGGTGGAAAGTGAGTGAAAATAAAAATAAAATGTTGGTGTGATGTCATGCGATTTGCGCGCGCACGTCAAGGACAACGCGCAAAGGATACGCGGCAACAAGGCTAAGTCCTTGTACATATGCATATATGTATATGTCTCTAAAAATGTATGTGGTCGTGTGTAAAAGTATGCACATGTAAACTGGTGGATAAACGCTGTCAGGGCGTCTAAAGTGAATGAAAATTTAATGAAATGTCGCTAATGTGGCACGTTAAACTCAATCTCTTTTAAATATGTTAGTAGTGCTGTGTGTGAGTATGTATTTTGCGAAAAGTTTCATCCAGTGTAAATAAAGAAGATTTTGTGAGGTGGCTCTTATGACAAATGGAATTTGCCAAGCAAAGTCAAGTTTGCCTTTATATGTGAGTATGAATGTAGGCATGGATATGCGTAAAAGTTTTGCATACTTCCATACTACATGTTGTCTTCTCCGAAATGTGCTTTGGATCAATAAGCTTGAATGCGTGTGCGGAACCAATAAAAAAGTGAAAGTAAAAGCAGTGAATCAAAAAAAATCGTTTGCGTTTCCAAGTGTCCTCGCTTGCGCTCTCATCACTGCCGCTGAGTCCTGCCAGCATTAAGTGCCTAATCAAAGACAAATTAAATTGCGTTTTTCGTTTTTTACTCACGTTCTGCGACGTGCAGGACATGCGAGTGCCAATGAGCAATTATACACTTGGGTAAATGTTAAGGGCACCCTGTATTTATGTGCCGTACCCACTTTTCGACGTTTATGCCGTTAATGTGTTGGCGGCTGTGTGTGGTACGTAATGCCATGTGAATGCGGCAAACGCTTAAGGACGCTTCTGCTCTAAAAATAAAGTTTTGCTGGGCGCCACTGGCACAACCCTTGAAAGTGCATAAATATTTTGTATACATATGTGTGTACACAGTGTTTGAAAAATGTTAGCATAAAAGTGTCTACTTTTACCTGTGCAATCAAGAACGCAAACACACCAATTAGTTTGCGGTGAATATTCCGAGAAAGTAATAAAATATTGGTGCAGCTTTAAAACGCGCATTCAAAGGTAATAATTACTGGAAAACTAGAAACAATAAAATGCAGATTAACGAGAGCCAATAATATGAAAATATTCAAAAAAAAGTAAATATCTTAATTATGTATAAACACGTAAGGAAGTTCTAAGTTCAGGTGTAACCGAACATTTTATACTCTCGCAACTTGCAAGGATCAGAGCCCGGGAAACTTCAGCTGTTAGCAAAAGCTTATATTAAAGGAAGTATTGATATGATTCAACCCATTTTTGACACAAAAACATACTATAATCGAGAGTTTCATTTATTTATTTTATTTTAGTAATTTCAATTATATATCTTACACATTGACCGATATATTCGGTAAAAAGTCAACTATAGGCACTGGGGTCCACATATTCAGTACCTAGGGACTTGAACAGTTTGGTTCGATTTAGCCAATTTTTGGTCACAAATGGCATACTTTAAATGCATTATTTACGCAAAGTTTTACCCCGATATAATCATTGTTGCTTGATTTTCATAGTGGAAAGTGAAAGAATCAGATGCAATTTATAATGGTGTTATATGGAAAATAGGCGTGGTTGTAATCCGATTTCGCACTATAACATAGAAATATGAGAAGAATTTGATGTACAGAATTTGGTTGGAATCGGTTAAGCAGATCCCAAGATATGGGTTTTCACCTAAAAGTGGGCGGTGCCACGCTATTACTTTAAAGTCATCTCATACCAACCCAGATTTATAGCGCTTTTAGTATTTTTTAACAGTGTCGTTATATGGAGAGTGGGCGGAGTAGCATTCCGATTTCACACACTGTCGATAGAGGTGCTGAATACGTTTGTTTTCAGTGAATTTTGTTATTATAGCTTTAGCGGCTTAGGAGATATGCACATTAAACCTATTAGGGGCGGGACCACGCCCAGTTTAAACAAACATTTTAAACTGCAGATGCCCCTCTCTAATGTAATCCGGTATACCAAATAACAGTCTTGTATCTTGTTGTGGAGCTTAGTTATGGCAATTTATTTGTTTTTGATTAATGACGTTTTGTGGACGTGGCAGTCATCCGATTACGCCCATCTGCATTACCAACCGTCTTACGGTAACAAGAAACATGTGTACCAAGTTTCATAAAGATATCTTAATTTTTACTCAATTTACAGCTTTCACAGACGGACAGACAGGCAGACAGTCACCCGGATTTCAACTCGTCTCTTCATCCTGATCATTTATATATATATAACCCTATATCTAACTCGATTAGTTTTGGGTGATACAAACAACCGTTAGGTGAACAAAACTATTCTATATCTGTATCAACATGTTGCAAGAATATAAAAATACATATATTAGAGTGGGTCAAAAAAATGCTTTTTTTCGCTTGGTACTCTGAAAAATTGGTTGATAAATACTTCAAAAATGTCTATCCAAGTATGTGCTCTTAATTGTAACGTGAAGGTTCTCCGCCTTACAGTTCACTATCTTTATACCCTGAACATGGTATATTAATTTTGCCACGAAGTTTGTAACACCCAGAAGGAAACGTCGGAGACCATATAAAGTATATATATAAATGATCACCGTGACGAGATGAGTTGATTTAGCCATGTCCGTCTGTCTGTCCGTCCGTCTGTCCGTCCGTCTGTATATACGCGAACTAGTCCCTCAGTTTTTGAGATATCGATCTGAAATTTTGCACCTTTACTTTTCTCACAAAGAAGCTGCTCATTTGTCGGAACCGCCGATATCGGATCACTATAGCATATAGCTGCCATACAAACTGAACAATCGGAATGAAGTGCTTGTATGGAAAACTCTTTAATTTGACGAGGTATCTTCACGAAATTTGGCATGTATTATTATTTAAAGCATTTATCTAATCTCCGAAGAAATTGTATGGATCGGATGACTATAGCATATAGCTGCCATATTAACTGAACGATCGGAGTAAAGTGCTTGCATGGAACATTTTTTTATTTGACGAGACATCTTCACGAAATTAGGCACGAGTTATTGCTTAACAAATTATTCTCCACAGAAATTGGTCAGTTCAGATCACTATATCATATAGCTGTCATACAAATTGAACGTTCGGAATCAAGTTCTTGTAAGGGGCCTTTGTTTTTGTGAAGGGTATTATAGCTTCGGCGCAACCGAAGTTAACGTTTTTTCTTGTTCTTATCATCAGATAACAAATTTCAAATCTCGCTTCCAACTACTTGAAAAATATTTCGTTTCATAGATTTTGTAGGAAATTTAATTAATTTTTCGTAAACCTAATCGTTTAAAAGATATTAACGATTGAAGTTTGATTATTTTACAGCAGATTTGTTTTTTATATTTTTCCAACATGTCGCTACAGGTATAATGGTTTTGGTCACCTAACGGTTGTTTGTATCACCCAAAACTAATCGAGTTAGATATAGGGCTATGTATATATAATATAAATGATCAAGATAAAGAGACGAGTTGAAATCAATCTATCCGTCCGCCCGTCTGTGCAATTGATAACTTGAGTAAAAACTGCGATATCTAAATGAGACTTGATACACGTTTTCTTTATCAAAAAAGTGCGGACGAGTTTGTAGGTGGGCGTAACCAGACCCCTGCTACGCCCACAAAATGCTATTAATCAAAAACTTATATATCGAAATAAATAAACCGTAAATTAAGCTACAAAATCGTAGTTTCTTACATTTTCAAGCTTTTAGATAACTCTATACCACATACATATATCAGTCAATGCGGAAGTTATTTTAATGAAATTGAGAGAGAGTGTTTTTCTAATAACAGTGCATCTTTCTGCCTAAAATGGATAAAATTTTAATATAAAATTATAATAAAAACTTGCTTTAGCCCTCATATACCTGGTATTCACGATTTTGAAACGTCTGCCTGACTTTACTCTATATATAGTATATGCGTATATTTATATAAATAAAAAATTGTTTAAAATTAGTTTTAACGTAAACCTGAGCAATGTCACAAATTAATGCAATCAGCCCAATGATTTTAGTAGAATTTTCAATAAAATCAAGTAAGTATATAACCTTCAATATAAGTTAATATGATACCAAATTTGATTGTAATCCATTTTCGATTTCGTCGAACAATAAAGTTGAACCTTTTTACTACATTTCCAAATATGAAGTCTCGCTAACACCTAAATGTATTTCTCCGGCTTTGATCCTTGCATGTTGCCCATTTTCGCACTATGACATAGAAACATGAAAAGAACGTTATGCACCGAATTTGGTTGAAATCGGTTAAGCAGATCTCAAGATATGGGTTTTCACCTAAAAGTGGGCTGTGCCACGTCCACTGTCTAATTTTGAACGCGGTTCCTATAAAGTCATCTCATACCATCCCAAAGATAAAATTTAATGTCTCTGGCGTGTTTAGTGCTTGATTTATCGCGCTTTTAGTAGTTTTCAACAGTACCGTTATATGGGGAGTGGCCGGAGTTGCCACCCGATTTCGATTTCCCCTACCTAATGTGATCCTGTGTACCAAATAACAGTCTTGTATCTTATTGCGGAGCTTAGTTATGGCAATTTATTTGTTTTTGATTAATGGCGTTTTGTGGGTGTGGCAGTAGTCCGATTACGCCCATCTGCAATACCAACCGTCTCACGGTACCAAGAAACATGTCTACCAAGTTTCATAAAGATATCTCAATTTTTACTCAAGTTAGAGCTTGCACGGACTGACGGACGGACGGACAGACAGTCACCCGGATTTCAACTCGTCTCTTCATCCTGATCATTTATATATACATAACCCTATATCTAACTCGATTAGTTTTAGGTGTAGCAACAGGCGAGAGTATAAAAATACAGTAAATTCAAAAAGGAGCTGGGCAAAAATGTGTTCACAATTTGTGAAATTATTTATGCTTATAAAAAGTACGTGCAACTTTTCATCGCCCTCAAATATTTTAAAACAGCAGAGTTGTAAATAACTAACAACATCCAGGAATAAACAAAAAGTGCCTAAATACAAATGTGAAAATTATTTAATACAAGCTTATATCTAAATATACAATACATATGTATATGAATGAATAATTAATAAAAGCAAAATCATGTAATGGAAAATGACATATACATATTTTACACACTAGTGACTAGTCCATGGTTATATGTATGTCATTTGTGCTCTCAACAACTCAACGCAAGTGTTTTATTTATACAAGTACTCGAAGTGCCTCAGCAAATAATAAATGTAAACAAGCGCTTATTTCATAAAAACGCAACTATTCAAATCTGCGGTGAGTCAAGTGTCCTTTGCTCTACAAGTAAATCTGATATTAGATTGGACATATGAAAATGTGCTTACAGCCGTGCAAAAAGCGATGAGTGCGTGACAACCACTCGATTGGTTGCGTCAAGTGAATTCATTGAAAAGTTATTATAAGCTTTTAAACTAAAAGAAGGACGTAACTGATTGTTCAGATGTTTATATGGCCCATTCGCAGAAAACAAAAAACCATTTAATGGAGTGTTATGTTTCTGCTCTTCAGATGTTAAACTCTCGCTCTCTGTTTATTAAAATATCTAAAATTGATTAGAGACAATTTGATTTCCGAATAGCTGTCTGTTCATCCGTTTTAATATACAAGCGATAACTTGACAGCAAGTCAACTAACGGTAAAATCATACTTACCCAGAGAGCTCCACCAAAGTTGTTACCGTTTCTATAAATTTCTTAAGGCTGTGGGTATATTCAGCCTACATAGCAATCTACGCGATTCAGATTACACTATATCACGGACTAATTACGTGAAACAAGTATCGCCAATATCTGTCACAGTTGAGACAAAATCTCCTAAGTGTATCTGCATTTTTTGAATAGCCGAGCTTTTCTCGTACAATAAACTTTGACGATTTTTCAAAATTCGAAAAGGCGCAAGAGTTATTGTTGTAAAACTTTATTTTAACAAGTAAGGAAGGGCTAAGTTCGATTGTAACCGAATATTTCATACTCTTGCAACTGCAAACCTTATCGAATGCCTGGGATATGTCAATAA